AAACAGTCCTTCTCAGGACTATACCAACCTGGACGATCTACATTTACAAACATTCAACGATATTATGTTGTTCTTCATCAGCTTGGAAGAGATTTGGACAGTACAGCATGTTCATGAGAGATCAAAGAATGCCCATGTGTCTCAAAAGGAAGATCATGGACACTGTCATATTACCAGCAATGACTTATGGAGCAGAAACGTGGGCACTTACCAACCATCAAAGAGAGAAACTGGCAATCACCCAAAGGAGTATGGAAAGATCAATGCTCGGTGTCACGAGGAGAGATAAGATCCGGAATGAAGACCTGAGAGCAAGAACAAAAGTGAAGGATGTCATCGAGAAAGTTAATAAAGCCAAAGGAAAGTGGGAAGGACATCTAGCCCGAATGAAAAATTATGAATGGGCAAAGAAAACATCTGAATGGACCCCGTGGGACAAGAAAAGAGGCAAGGGAAGACCAAAAAGGAGATGGAGAGATGACATCGAGCAGAGAGCGGACAGCATGTGGATCCAGAGAGCCCAAGACCGTGAAGAGTGGAGAAAGATGTGGAGGCCATCCGCCAGCAGTGGCGTGACAGGCTGATGATGATGATGATGATGATGATGTTGTTCTTATACTTTAGTACATCACGATGGTTAGGTATAAAAAATAAAAAGCCTTTAAAAGCAATTTTATTCTGAAATTTGCAGCAAAAATAGACCAACGGATGGAAAAATTGTGTGATAAGAAATTTTGAGCAAAAGATAATCATTGTCTACAATGATCTGTTCCTGTCAAATTTTGTAGCAAGTGGTAGACAGGAAGCCGAAAATAAAATATTGTTACAGCGCAAACTATAGTCAACATATTTGTGTTCTTTTCACTGATTTGCACGCAGAACTTTGAAATACTTTTTGAGCAAACCTCATTGTTGGCTATGAAGTAACACTATCATTATTAGCTTGTTTTGAAACAATTATGTAGGAATGAGTTGATAATAGCACTGAAAAAAATGAAAATTAATAATGACATAAATAAAAATAGAGATCATTACGAAATAGATTTAAAAAAGCATACAAATTTTTACAAATTTTTCATTAGTAGATAACAAGTATGGTTGTTTTTGAACTATTATTGAGTGGTTAAAACAAAATATTTTCTTGAGTTTTACACAAATCTATTTATAATAAAATTTTACATAATCTTTTCCTTTCAATGAATACCACTCTACGTTGAAGTTGACGATGATTTAAAGTTTTTCTTGAGTTGATGGAACATTCAAAACAAGGTCTTCCTCCAACATTTCCATCGAAGATTCAAATTCTTCAGAAAAAGTCTCTTGAATGGGTAAATTTAGAATTGGTTGAGTATTTCCACCATCTTCCATACTTTCATTTTCTAATGCATTGTCGTATCTTTCGTTGCCATCTTCTAGCCCATCGTAACAATCTTCTTTAACGTTATTTTCTTGTTCAGCACAGAAATTTTTACCTTTGTCGTTGATCTTTTTGTAAACGACGATCTAAAGATAATTACAATAGGAAAAGAGTCATCATTTCGACTCTTCTACAAATGGAAATGCTGGTTTCCCACGCAAAAGAGTTACTTTAATGGTGTACGATTTACACGATGCTTATACCTGTAGAAAAATATTTTCCAATTTTGCGCAAAAGAAATGAATCAAGAATGTAAGATTTAGGATAATTATATTTTATTTTACATGGTCATATTAATAATAAATTAAAATCGTCACGATTTCTTGTTACATCACCTTAAGTACATATGGTTTGGATCGTAAGCGTAGGAAATCATGTTTTTAAGAAGTGTTAAATAAATCACATTAGTAACAGCTACCTTTTTTTAGGCCCAGTTCAAACGTCGCATTTTACATGCGCCGAATCAAATGCGAGAATTATGTGCATGTAAAATGCGACGTTTGAACAATTAAATTCGACGGATTTTAATTTAATGCGACTTTAGTCGCATATTCGACTGAGTTAGTCGAATATTCGACGGAAATTCGATGTTGATTCAAACGTCGCATTTTACATGAGCCGAATTTAATGCATAATTTATTTTAAGATATTTCTAAGCAAAAATCAATTATTTCCATGCTAAATGCCATGCGCAAAGTTGTAAAAACATGGCGGCGGCGAGTATTTCGTGCACAAGTTTAACAAAATACACTTGTTTAAAGTGCAAAAAATTTATATGTACAAGGAAAGTTTCCTCGAGATACATGAAATGTTTTTTTGAATCGAAGATCACAATAAATACTCCAAACTGTCTTCCACCAGCCGGAATTTCTATCTTGTCTTCGACATGATCGATAAGGAGGGCTACGTATGAAGGCTTTTGTTTGAGCAATTAACGGTAGAAAAACATGGGAAATTTGCAGAAGCTGCCGTCTCGTTTCTAATAGTTTATTTGCTGTAACATGCATCAATATTCGTCTTTTCCTATTAACACGAATCATATTTGAAATGCATAAACTCAACATTTTTCTGTTCGCCATTTTAGGAAATTAGTACAAGAAAATGAATAAACTATGAAAAAGTGGAAGCATAACTATAATAAATGCGACGAGAGCCCTCTATAGTATAAGAGTTGGGACAAACGGTCTGGGGCGAGCGCGGAGCCGCCATTTTGGTTCCTACTTGCAAAGTGAAACTATAATAATACTATTGGAAATTGGGTTTATATGCAAAAGAAGAAAGCAATTTAAGCTTATTCCATGGTAGTATCAAATATATTAGGAATAATAGCAAGCTCTTTGCGTTTTTTTAACGATTTGCGGCAGACCTGATTTAATTTCATTGGTTTCCAGTATGGAAAGTATGTCTTCTGCACACCGGAGATTTTTTTTTAATAATATTATTGCACACCAGGCATATTTGGGCGTGGCAAAATTCCGCCATATTTGTGGGCGTGGCAGGGTAATTCAATGATGCATGTGGTGCTGAGTATTCCTGAAATAACGCAGTAGTTAACTTTGTTTAAGCTCTTGCGTGTTTGTTGAATAGTTTACAATGGCAACAAGCATTTACAATTACAGTGTACATTTACAGTTTACAGATAAAGTAAAAACTAAAAGATAAAATATCGCATTTAAAACTATAAATCCTTGAGTGAGTACAACTCCGTCATAGCTCACCAAAATCATTTTCATGCAAAACATGTGGACATCAAGGAGGCTCATGCCTCACTCTAACCACAACTTTGCTCACTTCAAAATTTGACGCTCTGTCTTCTTTAAAATATGGTAGCCGATGCTTTGGTAGCTTATAGTCTTCATCACCGTTTGTATAAATTTCTGCAATGGCTCTCATGGTACGAGGACATGAAACGGGATGGGGAACGCACCAATCTACTATTGATCTATGAACCAAAACCTCATTAGATTGGGCTCCAGTTTTCTTGTGAGTACCCATAAGGCTATAAAATCCTTCTACTATAGCCTCACAACCACTTGTGGAAAGAGCTACGTCAAGGGCGATGCACATTTCTTGACCAATTGACCTTATTATATCTTCATTTGTGTACATGCTGGTGTACACAAATTCTTCGTTGATCCTTGCTTTCACTGCCTTTCCCGAAGAAAATTTCAGACTAAACCACAAATCTAGTGCAGGATCCTCAATGCATTTAAGGGAAATTAGCCGCTCCTTTTCAAATTCTGTCACTGGTTGGTCCTTTTCATCGATGAACATATACGAACGACAATTACCAAGACCTTCCCAGACCATTCTAAGCACAGTTTCTTTAAATTGCTCCAAGACACTATCACTGTTATGTGGCAACAGTTTCAGTAATGGTTGGTCGTCTAGTAGCTGCATGACATGAGGCAATTGGCAAACATACCTAAAGCATGAAGATGTAGAATGATTAGGTAAGAGTGTCATGTGATAAAGTTATTACACATAGTAAGGCCAAGATAAATATTCCCAAAATATACTTGAAAAAATCGGCAAACTCTCTTTTCCCGCGAAGATCCCAAAGATGTCTTCCAGCCCTGCTGACTTTGATCCGCCCATTCGCGTGAGAAAAAAGACAAAGAAGCTTTGTTAGTCCCTCAATGTTAAACACAGCTTCTAACTTAGTGATGTTGTCGATCTTAATGTTTTGTAGCGAGATGCCAGACACATTGGAATATTTTCTGTGAGTTGATAAAGACCATCTAGGCAATCATTTGGTGATCGTGCCTCCCAAGTAATAGTCTTTCTCTTATGTTGTTTCCCAGTCTTGTCTGTAGACGGTTCTTCGACGAGTTGCTCACTCTCATTGACTACGAGCCATCCTTCGCAGACTTGTATTCCTTGAAACGAACATTCTTCAATTTCTTCTTTTGTTAATTCTTGCCAATGTTTTGCAAGTCTTGGCAACAACTTTTCAGCTGGTTTTACAACATCTCCGTCCTTAAGTCGCTTTAATTCTGTCCTGATATCCTTCAAGATATCAATGACTCTCGGAAACCAAGCAACAATTTTCCAGGGAGGCACCTTTAAGCTCTGACATTTGATCATTAAAGAAACAACTGGCTGAAACACATCAATTATTCCACATAGATCTATGGCAAAATCTTGACCTCTGAGTTGGTATTTTGTCTCGTCGCAATCATCCTTTTTATCTTCTCGATTTGCACTGTATGCCGTAACCAAAGCGGGATAACTATTATAAATTTTCTTCCATTGATCGAAAGCAGAACTGGAAAATCGCGTGGTTGCATATGTCACAGTTTCGAGCGCTTTTAATCCTTGATTTTTGGAATACGTCTTGTACTCAGCATGTCCTCGGCCACTTCCAAATAATGTGTGCAAGCGATTAGAGCGTTTGATGATAAGCTTGATAAAATTGGAAGACAAGGAGTTTTCACGTAGCTCAACGATCGCTAGGTCTAGCCAGTGGGATGCATCCCAAGGAAGAAGAAAGTATGGATCTGGTTTTCGATGCATCCCCAAAAGCTCGTATAGTTTCGTTTGAAATGTACTCGCTTGGTACTGGTACTGTCCATCAGCATGAACACCTAGAAGCAATTAGAAAATGAAAGTAAGCCAATGGAGAACGTGTTTAGCAAATTACTCACACATCGACTCAGTCAGCTCTCATAATAACATCCTACCTCGCAACAACCTTAAATCCGAACTAGTTAGCTGCAATGATCGTTTTAAAAATTTCAATTACTTGTACGGCAAGATCTTCTCCATAACCTCCTCTAATAGTGTCTTCGTTATCGGAATCTGCATCTCTGTACTCGTACACTAGTGGAGCATCAATTGGCATCGCAGTGCGTTTACCATTCACAGGTAAAAAGATCATTATGGCCTGATTCGTGTCTCTGTGAGGAGTAGATTTGTCTATTGCAACTGAAAAGTGGGGGGGCAAGCCAGTATTTACCAAAGGTTTTTGTAGATACGATGCCGTTTGCTTAATGACGTGGATATATGCAGCCTTTATTATATGTGGAAACTGCTTTCTATAATGTTGGAAGATAGACAGCTGAGATTAATGACAAAACACCTGCAATACAAAAAAAAACCCTTAAAATCAAACCTTCCATGTCCGATAGTCCCAACGTCTACTCCACAAAAGGAAAGGAATGCTACCAATGACTCGTACGATAAAGCCGCCGTCTTGATCTTACATATTTCTATTCCTGCAGACACCAGCTTAACATTAGTGTCAATGTTTCTTTCCTTTCGTTGTTTCTGACTCAAATGATACTGTAAGGCCTTCATATGGAATTGACCAGCATTTCGCGTTGAACTACAGTTGACATGTTCGAGGATTCTGTTCTTAAAACTGTACCATTCTTGGTTGGATCCTTGTGAGTACTTTTCAGTTCGAGCAACATCATAGATCAGACCAAGACCCCAGGATTTGTTTTGACCATTCCTAAAAGTTAAGGAAATGTGTTAATAAGATTACATCTATACACTTTGTATTCTACAATTAACAATCACTTGCATTTTTTTTCCTTTGATATATTCGTGGCAAGGAACACAGGTTACACGACATCCATCTGTCAGAATATCGACTTGTATTTGTTCGCAATTGGACAATTCCACCAAATTGCTGGCAGCCTTCACACCAGCATCGCTAACAGCTTCTATCTCGGTTGTTATGGGATTTTGGTTTGATCTTCTTCTAACAGCACCATCCATGTTTAATGCCTGTAATCTGACTAGAATTTGGTTGACACCATCCTCAATTCTAGCAATAGGATTGTCTGATACGTCATCAATGTCTTGCGATCCTTGTTCGTCAAAAAAATCTGCTACCGTGGATTGTATTTTCCCTGCTGTGTTGCTATCCTTAGTTACCAATAAATTTGGAAATATAACATTCGTATTTCCAGTATAAGAAGTACTGGTCTGAGTGCTGTCATCCTCATTCGCATATACCTCAAGACCAGAAAAAATGGACGTGATCGTGGACAAGCATGACAACGACAGATCTGTATTGACTGTATTAACAGTCTCTTCATTTGCAATCTGCTCTTCCCTTTGTTGAATCTTTTTTTGCTTTAACAATGCTTGAGCCTTCACATGATTTACTGGCACAATGACTGACATATAATTTCCTTTCTCTCCACTATGTTTTCTTGCCCAATGCCTTTGTTTGTACGACTTGGATCCTCTTGTCAACTCTTGTGAACAAAGCAAACATATGTGTGGATCACAATGATCCTTTTACACCTTCTTCTCCGGTGGAGCATTGGCATTCAGAGATCGTGATGGTCGTTTTCGTCTAAATATGGCACTCCATTTTTCCTAAATGAAGATATTTAGTATTTCTTTAGAATAATCTTAGAATTCATTCAGAGCAATTTGAAAAATGATGAAAGGACAATGCTCACCTCAGCTGATTGTTGCGATTTTACATTGACAAGTTCGTTTGTCTCATCTTCCTCAACTTCAGAAGTCATTTTCAGAGCACGTTAAAAAACAAAAGAGGACCGAAATGTGGTTTTAAAAAGCGTGAATGCCTCTTGCTTTTTATATAGTTATTTTCCGAATGCCGAACCAACGCTTGTAAGCTAACACCACATTCTAACAACGCATTCATATTTCATAGCGCGTGGATCTTGTAGTGAATACTATAAATACTGTTCTGTAAAATAATAAAATCACTTAAATCAGTTCGTTCATTTAAGTTCATTCATGTTATTCATGACGAATAACACGAACTCAGCATGGGGACGCATGCTGCGTTTGCTTTGCTATATTTTGAGGAAAAATGAGGATTTTTCAAAGTATGCGCCAACCACGGTCCGCGAACGATAATTTAATTGACAGTTCTGTGCAGCCGTGGGCGAAATTTGAGATATTCACATCCAATTCAAACGGAAGTTATGCGTTGAGAAATGACATTTTTATAAACAGTAACTTCCGATATTTTAATAGCAACAAAGGCTTACAAAGCAAGATTCAGTCTCTTGCAACATCACACACTGTATCATCAATATTGCTTAAATTACTATTTTTCCTTCCAAAGATTTTGCGACGTACAACATGTTTGACACAATAAAACACTGAAAACAGCCTGTGTACACCGAGATTAGCGATACTTCGTATATTAATTTAATATTATTATGCTTTGATCGTCATATGCGCACCAGTGCACCATAAAATATATTTTGCACACCAGCACACCAGTAATTTCATAGTGCGCACCGGAGATCTCGTCGAAAAACGACATACTTTCCAGTCTGGATTGGTTTGAGCTTCGTGTTTACTAGTTCGTGTTTCAAATTGATCGTGACCCATTGTAAGAAGTATTTTTCGTACGTGAACGTGTTTTCTCGGCTTATGTTCCGACTCTGTAACAAGTTTTCAAGATCTTTAAGCTTGGTGGCAAGCGGCAATGTTATCCTGGCATCAGTGTTATCAAATACTTGGACAAGACTTTGTTCGAAACTTTGAATCATAGTAATCATGCAGATTTGGTCCGGAGAGATTTGTGTTCAGGATTTGTAACAATTTAATGGTAGTGAGTGATTTATGCCCCAATTTAATCCAAGCATGATATTTTTTATTCTGAAAGATCACAAGATTTTCTTGCTCAGCAGAAAATGACAGACTTTTTTACTTTTTAGTTATTGAAATATGCAATGATTTGACCAAATGCATTTGACCTTAAACGTTTTATTCCTGTATATGAAGTTATTTCGCCTTTATCACTTTATAAAGTATTAAAGTTTATTTCTAATAAAGTTTGTTAGGGATTCTGCTGAAAAATTTTGGTGAAGCATTTCTTTAAAATGAATATATTATTTCTATAATATGAAACATTTCTGTTGTTGAAGAACAGTCTGTTTGCTATAAATGCTAATGTTTGTAGTCTTTTATACAGCATATGAGTCTGATGCAATCTTTACTTTAGCAAAGAGTTAAATTTATTGGTTGAGGAATGACAAAACTTCTATATGTGTTTAATGATCAAACAGGGGTGTGTTGGAGAGAGCTCAGCCCCGTTTGTTCAAATTCTATGCCTTGTATTGCCAGTGAAATATATATATCAAAAAGCTAGCAGCACCTAAATATATATCAGAAAGCTGGCAATATTTTAATATATATGAGAAAGGTAGCAACAGTTGTAATATACATTAAAAAGCCCAAATAGCTGGAATTATGGAGATATGCCTCTGTGATCTTATAAACCAAAACCTACAATTAAAATATCATCAACAAGTCTAGAAGAGAAGTAATGCTCTACTTTGAGCTACAGAAGTAGGGTACATTTGTACAATTCAATACCAAAAATATATTGTACTCAGCTGTTTCATTGAATATCCTAATTATAATTACTTCATTTTTAAATGATGAACTAAAAATACAAAATACAACATGGAAAATCGTAAGAGTTTCTGTGATTTGGTGTAGTTGTTTGTTTTAGTGTGGAAGTGGCTGAGAATTGAGAGGTTTGTAGATTGACCAATTTCAGAACATAATGAGAAATCATCTTCGATTAAAAAACAAGCTTTGGAGTAAGAAAACTATTGAAACTGCATCAGCACGAACTTTGCAATGTTATTTGGCCCAAAAATGCTTCTCTACTTGAGTCAGTTAATTGAACCTTATATCAAAAGCAGTTCAGCACAACAATCACCATACGCAATCAAATTTCGTAAGTTCGACGTAAAGGTATTTCTTTCATTTTTTTCGTAATCCTCGATTTATGCGATATGTAATGACATTTAGTAGCCTTCAACAATCAGTTATTACACACTTATCCATAAAAAAACGCAATATTATCTCAAAATACTGTATTACTAGCAGCAATTGCTATATAAACACAAGCTAAAATTTCAAAACTAGGAACCAAAATGGCGGAAATTGATCAGGTGATCAATATTGCCCAATCAACGTAAGCTAAACGGATAACAATAGATGTCCCAACTCTTATACTATAGAGGGCTCTGAATGCGACGTCTGAATCAAACTACGCATAAAACTATTTTAGTCGACTAAAACTCAGATTTGATTCGGCGCATGTAAAATGCGACGTTTGAACCGGTCCTTAAAGCCAACTTCACGAATATTCACGAATAAAAATCCAGTCGAGTGTCGGGTTTAACGCGCTCGAAGACTTCAAACACCAATGAATTTTCAGTGATTTTATACATCTCTATATAAACAAATGAAATATCGTATCATGTGTTTCGTGATTGATACTTCCTTGGATAATTCATCCCGTTTTTATATTGGACGAGTAATAAAAGACGACGCTTTATGTGTCTCTATTTAAAGGCGGACATTACATCCGTATAAACTCAATTATACTTAAATAATTGCTCCAAAAATTGGGTCTTACAAACAAAACAAGCCATCGCGCTGCCCATATCACGACGACAAAATGTATCGTGGTTTATTTAGAACACAATAACGTGGGGGCTGCAGTAATAGCTTGAACAAAAAAAATTAACATTGCTGGCACTTATAAAACAATATATGTTCCAGAATAACGTAAATAACAACGACAAATGTACTTCGAGAAATTATAAGTAGCGTTTCGCAAACAACGACGCTCATTATGAGGCTAAGGCTTTAAAAATTGTCTCATGTAAAAATGCGCAACTTTGCATGCAACCACTGAATGAAATTTTTTAATTTTAGCAAACCATCCTCACTACCAATTATGTATATTTCCGTTGCCTAGTTTACAAATTTTTTAGTATTTACTGCCAGTTGTAGATTCGATAAAAAACAGAATGTTTTGAAATACTGTTTGTAAGGGCTCTTATAGTGATTTCTATTTTATTTTTTCTTATCACAAGTTTCCAATTATTGTGATGAAGACGAATAGCATTTGTTTTGTGAATTAGTTTAGCCTTCTCTTCATTTATTTCAAAGCGTTTAATTGTTCAAATATTAACAACATATATACCACCTAGTGTGATACGTCTGATACGCGTATCGATACATCAATATCAACAGTCCTTCTCAGTGTGAAAAATTCTCGTCTATCGGTGGAATGGAATGGCGTGGTACTAAGAAATACTCAGCAGAAAAGGGTATAGTACAACAATCGGCAGGAAAAAGCACAATTCCTTCGTCTACAAGGGTATGAATATCGCAGAATAATGACTGTGTTTTCACTGTTTCGAACTCTCCAAGCGCGTAAAACTGGAAACGTGTACCTACTACCTGCATATGTATGCTGTACAAATTGATGTATAAGCTTCATTTGTAGGCGTTACACAAAAGAACCTGACAAATAACTAGTTTATCAAAATAAAGAATCTTTGTCAAAATTTATGCTTATAAATCATAAATCATCATCAACGCATATAACGAACACCATGAATATGATTATTCAAGATGTATTATCTTTAATCTTATTGGTCAAAAGGGTGAAAGGCGTGCAACTACTAAACATTCCAGAGAAGTGGATTTTTTAACAGAACTGTGCACAGAACTGTATCGACAAGTGTTTGAAGTTTCAAGGACGGACCAAGCTTGTATAATTGCAGACTTGACTAAAACTAGTGGATTTTTTGTCCATAGATTCTTGTATGCCTTTATTTGTGGTTAAATTGGCTTTAGAAAAAGAGGTAGCTATTACTTATCTATTTTATTTTACACTCGTTAAAAAACATATTTTGATATACTTACGATCCGAACCATACTTAACACAAGGTAAGGCAACAAGAAATCGTCATAATTTTAATTTATTTTTATTATACTGGATGAAATAAAATAATTGTTCCAAATCTTAAAGTCTTTCAGGGCGCAACAAGAATTTGTAAATTTTCCGGTGCTTTGTAAATTTCAGAACATTATCATAGATAATTTCTCTAGAAATCTATAGTTTTACAGTCATAGACTGTTGAAAGTTGAATTTCGTAATAAGAAAAGTTGGCTTTTTGTAGAACAAGATGCGTCCTATTTTAATTATCTTTAGATCGTCATTTACAAAAAGATGACCGACAAAGGTAAAAAATCCTGTGTTCGAAAAGAGAATGGGCTAGAAGATGACAACGAAAGATACGACAATACATCAGAAAATGAAAGAATGGAAGATGGTGAAAATACTCAACCAATTCTAAATTTACCCATACAAGAGACTTTTCCTGAAGAATTTTTGTTTGACCTGCTAGACTTGACAAGAGAAGATAGATGTGCGATGGAAATGCTGAACGAAGATTTGGTTTTGAATGTTCCATCAACTTTAGGAAAACTTTAAAGATTCGTCAACCTCAACGTAAAATGATTTATACTAAGAGAAATAAATCATGTACATTTTATATTATAAATAGGTTTGTTAAAAGGAAGTGTAAAAGGAAACCATTCAATAATCATTCGTAGACATCCCATACTTATTAATATCTATCGAATGTTAATTTTTTAGTGCTGTGATTTGTCTTTTTTATACTAGAGACACATAAAATGTTCGTCGGATACTTCTTTGGATAATTCATCCCGTTTTTATACTAGACAAGTAATAAAGACGACGCATTATGCGTCTCTAGTATAAAAACGGCCATTACATCCGTATAAATTCAATTAGGTTATGTTCTCAAGTACATGTAAAGTTATGTTCTCAAGTACATGTAAAGTTATGTTCTCAAGTACATGTAACGTTATGTTCTCAAGTACAGG